GAATGTAGTTAGGGAATATGCTGTCTTGGTAAAGTGGCAGTTACTGGTTCTCCAGATTCCATTACTACATCTACCCTTGGGTAGTTGGCTAAGTTTCCTGTACCAGGTATGATTTCCCTCCTACTGATCAGGGCTTAAGGCTGATTAAGGGTCTGCAGGTTACCATTGATGTTTGTGCCACTATCACACCCTTAGGGTTTTCTAACCGTGTTGGTCGTTATAGTCCACAGGCATCATTGCTGGGTAGGACTGCTGGTTGCATCCCTCTTTTGCAAGCTTTTACTCATGAAAGGTAGTCAGCCATGATAGCTAGTCCTCAGGGAGGAGGCTTTCAGGTCAGTTCCAGCTCAGGGGCCTCTGGGGACAGGATGAGATTCCTTCTCCATTAGTAAATACACAAGCATGTGTTTGGGTAGATTGGGCATCGAAACGGCATGTGCCTACCCAGGCATTCTCTCACAAGTGCAGTCCAAGTGAGTATGGCTCTGAGCCTACTGAGAGAAAAGCACCACAGGTGATTCTCTGTCTTGTCCTCAAATAGAACTATACCTGTTCTCTGCTGGCCACACAGCTTCTTTGGCTCTGAGGAAAACATGCAGACTTTATTAAGGCCTTGAACAATGTATAACCTTGCCCATGCACATGCACCTGGGCCACATCATCATTGTTTAGCACACCTCGGATTTTTAAATGGTAAGTTGTTCTTCCCCAGATTCTTCTTAAATATGCTTCTATTTTATAGAGTGTGTGGACCTGCAAGGATGTGCCCAAAACAAGTGATAAACTATGTTGAGAGTGTAGATAAACAAGAGTGGGCTTTGTGTGAATGAAGAGATGGCTGAGCAGTTGGGAACAGTACCCTCTCTTTCAGAGGACGTGGACGTCCATTCTGAGGGGTTTCCATCCACCTGTAACTCCAGTTGGAGAGCATGCATCCCCCTGTTCTGACCTTCACAGGCACCTAAGTACTCATGGTGCACATAGCATATACTCAAGAACACATAAATCAATCAATCTTTTTTGTTTGTTTGTTTGTTTTCAGACAGGGATTTTCTGTGTAGGCCTGGCTGTCCTGAAACTCATTCTGTAGACCAATATTGCCTTGAACTCACAGAAATCCAACTTCCTCACTATTCATGTGCTGGGATTAAAGGCATGTGCCACTATAACTCAGCCAATAAGTTTTCTTTTTTTCCCCGAAAGAATTGGGTTTCCTACTTGAGTGGGCATTCTGAAGAGACGTTTCTGGGACCAGTCAGGACGTGCTAAGAAGCATTCATGTGTCAATAAAATTTTGGACAATCTTGAAGCATATCAGGTCTTTTATGTTCTAGGAAAAGAACTCACCTCTGAAACTGAGGTGTAGGAAGATGAAAATATTTCTGTTATGAAGAGCAGGTTGGGCTATCAAAAGGACAAGCTGATCAAGCAGTAAACCAACTCACGGTTGGTCCTGCATCATAAATATTTCTTTAATTCAAAGATTCCTGCTCAAGGTCATTCTCACAGCAGGAACGTTACATTGTCCAGGCTTTGTCAGTGGGAGGACTGTTGATTAGATTAATAGCCACTGTGGATGGAGAAAGCACTGCTGGGGAGTAGGAGGTTAGTCTGTCTTCGCCACAATGGAGCACACTGAGCACTCTTCCCAAGGTCTCTTCTCCAGCACTATACTTCATTTGTCTAATCTCTTGTTGGAAGTCAGGAGGAACTGAGTCTCACTTAGATTTTCATTGGCATTGTGGTAGCATTCTGTGATTCAGTGACTTACAAAGTGAATCTTTGTCTATAAACCTCTTGCTATAGATGAGACAGAAAGTAAAGATATCACAAAAATAGAAATAATGGTTTCCTGTCTCAAGCTGTGTAAGTGTGTGGTAGTTTGAGTAAGAATGGCTCCAATAGCTCATATATTTAAATGCTTGATCCTCAGTAGATGAATCTGTTTTGGAAGGATTGGGAGGTGTGGCCTTGTTGGAGGAGGTGTGTCACTATGAGGGTGGGCTTTGAGGTTTCAAACTCTCATGCCTTGCCATTCCCAGTTTGCTCCTACCCCCTCTGTGCCTCATGGTTGTGAGTCCAGTTAAAGTTCTCAGCACCGGTTCCAGCCAATGCCTGCCTTCCTGCTGCCATGCAGCTTCCATGTAGTCACAGACCCTAACTACCCTCTGAAACAGTAGGTGTCCAACAGCTCTTCTGTAAGCCACCTTAGTCATGGTGTCTTCACAACAATAGGAAGTAACTAAGACAACATTAGTCTGTTTCTGCACAATTATTAGTGTTGACATTTATTAACTACCCTTCAATGCTTTCAAATGACTTGAGAAATAGACATCCCATAAGAAATCACGAACATCATTCTATATCATCAAAAACACAACTGTACCCTCCTTGTTACGAGAAATGGGCCGGAAGACTCTATTTAATTAATAGAAGTAATATCATTTAGATGAATTTGATTTATTTCCGACTTCTTTCTCTCATTCATTCTTTTTACTTGTCTGCCTGCCTGTCTACCTGTCTGTCTCTCTGTTTGGGCAGATTCTCAATACACAGCTAGGACTGGCCTATGTCCTACTGGAACTCACTATGTAATCCAGACTGACCTCCAGATCCTTCTACCTCTGCCTCCCAAGTGGTGGTATATCAGGTATGTGCTAATATGCCCTGGCAGTTACTTCCCTTATAAAAATTGTTTAATGATATGTGGTTGTTAATATTTGAGATGCTGAAGTTGTAAAAACCATCAATGAACATTACTGTAATAATGATGCTTCTACATAACTGAGGTAAAAATTTTATGTCAACTAGAAATGAGAGGCTGGTCATCTATTGTTTTCTTCTCAATGGCTCTGAAGAATTCCATTCAGGGCTGTGGGTTTTTCTGTAAGTTCTCATAGGCAGGGTCTCTGGTGGCTCAAGTTCACCTCAACATGACTGTTTTGCCCAAGATGATCATAACCTTGACATTGTGATCCTCCAAACTCCACCTGGTTTTACACCAGTGCTTCTCAGCACCTGGTGTTCTAAACTGGGCTTCATCCCAGTATTTCCTGTGTGCTAGGTGAGCTCTCTATCCATCTCACCATATCCTCAGCCACTAAATGTACTATATCCCCTCTTCATATGATCCTATAATCTTCATGACACAAGAGTGTAAACCTAATATGCTCTCGTTTCTGATGGTTCCCCTACTTGCCATATTGTTCAGAATATAGTCCAGCAGAAAAAAAAAAACAAAGAAAAAAGAAGCAAGAGAGAAAGAAAGAAAGAAAGGAAGGAAGGAAGGAAGGAAGGAAGGAAGGAAGGAAGGAAGGAAGAAAGAAAGAAAGGAAGGAAGAAATAAAGGAAGAAAGAACGAACGAACCCACACCAAATAACTAAGAAAGTATATCTACCTAAGGGAAACCAGATTGTGTGCTGGGTGATTTTATTCAATGTGACAGGTTACATAGCTTTTGAGTGTTTATAAGCAAAACATACAGTAAAATTGCTACATCTAGATTTTTCCCTGGAGGCCTTTAAGAGGTATAGTTTCTCTGGGTTCCTCAGAGACCTCTTTCACAAGCATAGCCCTTAAATCCATGGAAAGCTATTTGACAGTTACACACAGATTCATTTGCCTTCTGTGTCTCTCACAGACAGTCTTTGAATGCATGAATCTCATTGCATATGTACTGCCATATGATACCTGTGGGTGATGTAGTGAGATGAGGAGATCCACATGACCTGAGAATGACGAATCATCTTGGTTTCTCTCATTCTTAGAGCTACAAATATGAAAAATAGCCTTATAAGACATAGAATACGACTGGGCGGTAGTGGCTCATGTCTTTAATCCCAGCACTCAGGAGGCAGACACAGGCGGATCTCTGTAAGTTTGAAGCCAGCCTGGTCTACAAAGCGAGTTCCAGGATAGGCTCCAAAGCTACACAAAGAAACCCTGACTCGGAAACAAAACAAAACAAAATAAAACAAGCAAACGAAACAAAAACCAAAACACACATACAATACCAATATTGTTCATGATTTCTATTCAGATAAGGGTCATTGTGATCACCACCTCCCACTTTGAAAGTCTTAAGATTAAAGGCAAGCAGTCCATGAGTGTGTGCATAAGTGTGTGTTCCTGTACTCAAGGTGTTGGTAACCAAGGTCCCATGCATGTGAGGAAAGTACTCTACCACTGAGTTACATTCCTAGTCTACAGAATTCCGAAATAAGTCTTTTTTTTGGTGGAGAGATCCCATAAAATATCACCAATATGACAGAGTGAAGTTATTTCTGTGAAAGACAATATTAGGAGCAAACACACAGTACAGAAAGCACACTGAACCACAAACAGGAGACCTAGGGATGTTAGTCATTAGAAATGCTGAGTGTTGGCATATAGCTGTCATTTAAAACTATCAAAGGCATTTTGAGATATGAGTAGAGCCTTGAATTTAGGAAAAACACTTATGTCCACTCTTGGGGACAGGTATGGAAAGATCCTGTTATTTGTGTGTGTACCTGTGCATGTATATATGTAAATGGAGCTTTCCCCATCATTTCTTTGCCACATTGGAACGTGGACCTGCATTCCATCTTACTTGTTTCATCAAATCCCTATCACAGTCTGCAGCATTGATTGCTGCTTTCTCCTGGAGGTTGGGAGCACACTTCCCTGGTGCAGGTAATTGGGATGCACGGTACAAACAGGGCCAGAGGATATGTGGAGGCATTTGGAGTGAGAAAGCCTGTGTTTGAACCCTCTCCCTGAAATTCCCAGAGACTGGCCTTTGGGCCTGTGGGACATCTCTTTCCTGTTCTGTCAAATGGGTACCATTAACCCCAGCTTGAGCTATAGTGCTGCTGTGAGAAAGGAATGACTACCCAAGTGATTGCACTTTATAGACTGTGAAGCCTTTTGTAGAGTGTGATGCCATTATTCTTCAAGCTGAACAGGAAATGATGACAGTATCATAATAGCCATCCTCCTTCTGTCTTTCTCCTTCCAGTCGTCAAGCAGTGATAATGAAAGGATCCACAGCAGCATCAATAACCCCAACAGAGAAAGTGTACCAGAGAGCAGCTTAAACCAGAACATTGCCGAACTTAACTCCAATATCCCCGAGTTCTCCCACGAGGACTATGCATTGTTCCAAGGTCATGGTCCTTACTCCCACATTAACCAGATCTTGAAGGAGGCTCACTTCTACAGCCTACAGCAGAGAGGACAATCTTCGACATGATCACCTAGGCGTCCTCCTCCCTTGTTTATAAAAAACAATGGCATTCACATAAAGCAGTCTTGGCTTTTGTCTGTATTTTCAGTAAGAGGTCAATGGGCATTTGTAATCTTTTGCTGTTTTGCTCCACCACTGCGATTTCAAAAGGTCCTTCATGACAGTTTGATATGTTTTCTGTCAAGTCTGGTGTCCAGTTCATGTTAAAATAGCAACCTGAGGACTTCTCCTGATACTGAATGACTTATATGTTCAATTCGGGTTGGGTTCCAAGTCACTCATCTAGGGTCTCTGTGTTAAATGTCGTTTTAAAATGTGACTCCTTCTGAAAAGCTAAGTGGCCCAAAAAAGAATGTGTGGTTTTCATTAAAACTTGAAAGAAGAAACAGCAACAAGAAACGAGCCAACACCAACCAGTAATGAGCATTGGGTAGGAGGGAGAATGTGACTGGTTCTCATTCTACAATGAATGACAGGGCTGCTCCTCTGAAGGGAGATGTTCTACAGAAATCAATCTCCACTTATAATGGTGCCAATGTCAGCCCATGCAGTTGTAAATGTGAAGCCTGTGTCTAGTAACTGCACTCTTTGTATTCCAAGGGAGAAGCCTTCTTCCTTTAATGCTCCCGTGTGTGCCCTTCATACCTTGTGCAAAGCACTTGTAATTCTGTTAGAGAAGTGCATAGCAATGCCGTGGCTTAAGTGCAAAACCTACTTGTGAACTGCTTATGTATTGTTCCTTACAGTTACATCTATTATGTCTAATGTAGATAAAGTCTAAGCTATTGGACATGATATCTGACTCAAGAGGTCTTGTAAAGCTGGGAGGGATGACTGTCCGTTGTATAACAAGTCTTTCTTGGGGAAGAGGGCATCTCACATCATCAAAATCCATACAGTTGTTTCGGGCAGGGTGGGCTCATGGAACAGTGCCTGTTTACCCTATGGCAGACCCCAGTAATGGTCTAACTATCAGCACAATTCCTGTGGCTTGTGATGAGTGAACTGAGGCACCATTAGAAGAAACAGGCAATGCCCCTTTGTAATGGATCTGTCCCTGAGTTCAGTCACATCTAGCAACCAATCCAACCTGTGCAGGGACTCACTTCTTTAATGGTTACAATTTTTCAGTAGTCAGGTAGGTGATCAAGGAACCAGAAGGTATCATACTAATTGCCCTTTAGTTGTGAGCACTACAACTTGTTTTAACATTTAATGGGAATAGCTTTAGTCTCTTTGCTAAGCAAGCTCTCTATAAAGGAAACTACATGCCATGTGAAGGACATTTTTATTTCTCATGGAATCTTTTATTCATTTTACATACCTATCACAGATCCCCCTCTTCTCTCCTCCTGCCCCTCCAGCTTTCTCCCCTCCAACCCACCCAACATTCCCTCCTATAAGAAGGTAAGGTCTCCCCCATGGCGAGTCAGCAGAGCCTGGTATCTTCAGTAGAGGCAAGTCCAAGCTCCTTTCCCTGCCTCAAAGCTCTAAAGGTGTCCCACCATAGGTAGTGGGCTCCAAACAGCCACCCTATGCACCGGGGATGGATCCTGATCCTACTGCCAGGGGGCCCCCAACAGAGACCAAGCAAAGGACATTTTTTAACGGCTCCTGTTTCCAAAGTTGGAGAAGCAGGTCTTCAGGAGAAGATGCTAGTGTTTTTGGCAGGCGACAGTTAACAGAAACTTGGTTAACATTTTCTCTGTAAGAGTAAAGCAAATAAATAATAAAGAGGAGAAGGAATCTGAAATCTGAAGCTGCATACGTGCAACACAGTTCCAGAACACCTAAGGAGAATTCTGCAGGGTGAAATCTACAGCAGGTTGCTCTCCATGAGTATGCAGCTGTAACAGTCATGCAGCTGAGATCTCTTGGGGGGATAAAGGTGCTTTTAACCTAGCCTGACACCCTGAGTACAATGCCTCGCAGCCACGTGATGTGTGGAGAGAATGGACTCCAGAAAGTGGTCCTCTGCCCTCTTGAAAGCAGAAAGGCAATTTTTCTCTCTCTGTCTCTCTCTATCCCTCCCTCCCTCTGTCTTCCTCTCTCCCTTTCTTCTCTCTTCCTCTTCTCGTCTCACATTTCACCAGGGTTAGCCCGGAACTCTCCATGTAGACCAGGCTGTCATGGAACAGAGGTGGACAGCCTGCATCTGCTTCCATTGTGTTAGGGTTCACTGTTTGTGCCATCATGTCTGATCTCTCTAAAACGTTTATTTGTGTTTGTTTTTAAAGTCGGACTCTGACCATGTGACCAAGCTGGAACTGGAATGACTATGTACCTCCAGCTGGACTCAAACTCCTGGAAATCTGCCTGCTTCATAACTCTTGTCCTGGGTCAACTCCGTACTGTCTTTTGCAAGTTATTTAACTGGTTATCACCAGCCTATGTCCTAACAGATCCCAAGTCCTTATTGGAATGGTGGAATCTCACCCTCCACAAATGTCCCTCGTGTAAAGTACAAGTATTTTGTAAGTAACCAAGAGGCAAGAGAAGGGATCCTTTTCCCCTGAAGAATCAGGTATCTGAACAAGGAAAGAAGGTTTTGCCAAGGGTGATACAAGGCTTGTTTTTAGGGAGTAAGGACCTAACTGGCCTCTAGGAACAATCTAGTATGGGCTACACCTCAGGGAGTTCCTCCCAACACCCCTTGAGACAGAAGTAGGGTGAGCTTTAGAAGTCAGAGGCAGGGAGGGCACCTTGACACAAGTTGTCCACCTGTCCATCAGATCCTGAAGAAAGTGACAGGAGTCCATGAGCAGCTTAAGGCACACAACTTCAGAGAAAGAACACCAGAGTTGAAAAGCGGGTCTTTTCAACTTAGCACAAGCTCCCTTTCCTCTAACGTAGGTGGGCTGTTTTAGGCAAGGCCGGGTGATTCTAGACACTTCAGCAGGAGATGTCCACTCACTGCATTGTGCAACTAGACAGTATTTAAACCTAGTGATGCCATCCATGATGCTTACAGTGGACCACCAGAGACTGGGAACAGTCTCTCTCTCTTCCTCTCTTCTGCTCTGTGGTTCTCTGTCTGCCCCACCTGCCTCTCTCTCACACACTCTGTCTCCCTCCATCTCTGACCTTCACTCTTTCTCAAGCTCTCCCTCCCTCCCTCTCTCCCTGACTTACTCCCTCCATCTCCAAATCAAGAACTTTGACCTGAAACCCACATCCTCCTGGTGGTTTTTCATACACAACTACTACTTGATGCATGGAGCAATTCAATGTCTTTACTCAGGATGGGCTTGTCTACTCATGGCCACAGACAAGAGGGATATCTTGACTCAAGTTACGCAAGAAGGAATTTGAGGGACAAACTTTATGGTGGACTTGTTTGTACCCATTGAATGACCCCTGGACAAGTCCTAATGAGCAGAGGAGGTTCTTATGTATTCCTTCCTGGATGTCTTATCAGCAGCATTATTGTGAAATTCCTCAGTTGGGCCATGGGCCGATGGCACTGGTTTCACTTCGTGATTTTTCACTTGAGAGACATGACAGTCACCTGCATGATATCACAATCCTCATGCTATCCTTTCTTCTTACTCGCACATGGTCCCTGCTGCAGATTAACATGATCATTAGATCATTTCCTCTGGGGAATCCTTTTCTGTCTACTTAACCACAACACAGAACTGACTGAAACAAAGGTCACTTCCAGGTCTCCATCAAACTCTAACTGTTGAAGGATTTTCTGAAGACTTGTGCCAATTTCTTCATCATTATTTGTTTCATATCATGTGAGGTCTAGGTAATAAGATCACTTGTGTCCCCACCAATTGAGGCAGATTTACAAGCTGATAACGACTCTTACCTCATCCTTTGCTGCTTGGGATCAATTGTGGGGGATTCTGCCCAGGATGATTTCTGCAAAGAAGAAATGGTTTGTTATGAACTAAGACTAGAGAGTGGTAAACAAGCATTCTTCACAAGGTGGACCTCACAGTCTGGGTTTCTTTGTGTGTGTGTGTGTGTGTGTGTGTGTGTGTGTGTGTGTGTGTGTCTGTGTGTCTGTGTGTCTGTGTGTGTCTGTGTGTCTGTGTGTGTGTCTGTGTGTGTGTCTGTGTGTCTGTGTTTCTTTAATTGCATTTGACAGGGAATAGGTGCTTAAACATGGCACACATTCTTTACGTTTGTAAGAAGTTTAATATTGTTATAACTCTCATTCACAGGCCTTTGTCACACTTGTGGCCACTGTATTTTTATATGCTGAGATTTCGTGTTACAGCAAAATTATTTATTTGTCAATTTTCAAAACACCATAGCACATACAGGGTAAATGAAGCTAAAAGGAAGAGCTGATAATTGATGGCCCTCTCGGGATAAACAGTACTGGTCTTTTCTTCTTGTGGAAGAGGAAAGTTGTCCAAGGACTTGCCTTCAAATAAAAATGAAAACACATGCCTGCTGGTGGATACCTGTAATCCCCGCTAGCTGGGAGGCAGAGGCAGGAGGATGAAAGACTCTAAGGCAGAGCTACAGACTGAGTTCAAGGATAGCCTGTGTAGAGGATGTGAGAATTTGTGTCAAAAGAAAATTTCAAAAGAAAAGGCTGTAAGTGTAGCCCAGTTTTAGCTTATGCCTACTCTATATCAGGCCCTACGTTCAATACCATGTACAGACAAAAGTAAACATACACAAAGAAATAAAAATCCAGTAAAGTGTCCATAAGTTTTATGGAAGTTATTTCCCATGTAGGCATCTCTCAGGAGTCAATGTAAGTATGAGATCAGACTGGATCTTCTTTCCTGCTAGTGGAAAGTTGTAAAGAGGTGATGTAGCACACAGAGACAACATGCTGGTAAGTTACTCAACAAATAGGACTGGACGGATGCAATCATAACCTTCATTGCACTCTCTTTTACAATGCTTGATCTGGTGGTATCCCTGTGACCCAGGACTGGACATTAACTTCCTACTGGTCATCTTAAGCATGGTCAGTTAAGTCTCCTTTATGTTCTGAGGGCCTTCATTGTTGACGTTGACTTGACACATGCTTGGTGATTTCTCAACTCTCTGAGTGGCCTCATTTACTCAAATGGTAACAGTCTCGATTTGACTGGCAGCATCCAGTCATGAACAGGACTGTGTTTTCTTGATACTCTTGTGGTCATGTGATGGTCCTCGGGTATGCTCTACAGCATGCTGCGGTTGGGCCCAAGTACATTATGAGATGTGCTTGCCTAATGCCTCAGACTGATTACATGGCATTTTATACAGAGTCCATGCATCTAGGCATGTCAAAGTCAGAGACTGAATCTCCACAGTGAGGACATCCGTGGGTCTGTTGGCCTCATCAGAGGGAAGATGAATCAGAAAGGCATTAGTCCAGTTTAACCTACAATTTAAACTTTAATTTCCAAAGGCAGTTGACCCACAATGTCTGAAGCTGAAACACTGCCCGGGGAGCCACTATTGGCAAATGGACCGTGGCGCATCCCATTGATGAAGGCAGTAATAGGAGGCAAGTGTGACGGTTCTCAATCTGGATGGAGAGTGACATGCTTGATCTGTTTGCTAGGATCTGGTCATCTGGAGGGGACCGGCTGCTGCTGAGAACCTACAAGGGTAAAACTCGGGAGCACATTGTGTGGAACTACTGGAGGTCTACTTTGGAATCTTTTATCAAAGTTTAAAGAAGAATGCTCAAGTCAAGTGTAGTAAGGGCGTGCTGTTCCCCATCAGTCAGAGTGCCCCCATCCCCACTGAGAAACGTGTAATTTAGGCAGAGAACTAAGAATCCAGTAGTCAGCAATGGGATTTATTTCCCTACACTGGGAGAGCCATGTTCT